TTTCGAGTTTACTTCCATCTGACAGATAGAAGGATACATTTTGTTGATTCGGACACATGTGTTTTGAAAAAAGCATGCTGAATGTTTTATTTTTGTTCATGATTAAGTTGTGCTGAACAAGCCAGAGCTGTAAGAGGTTAAGATCCGTCTGAAGTGATTCTTGAATCTCAGCCAGACTTTTGTTAGAGGTACAGTATAAAACACTGTGTCGTCTGCATACAAGAGGATTTTACACGTAGTCATAATCTTAGGTAAGTCATTTATGTAGATTGAAAAAAGTAGTGGCCCAAGAGACGAGCCCTGTGGAACACCTCTATTTACTGTGGCCATTTCTGACGGTGTGCCTTGTACAGTGACAAATTGTTTTCTACAATGTAAGTAGGAGTTAAACCAAAGTAAAACATTTCTGGAAGCACCTATTGAATAAAGTTTGTCCAGAAGAAGGTAATGATCAACTGTTTCAAATGCTTTTGTGAAGTCTATGAATATTGCTCCAGTTAGCTCCTGATTGTCAAAAATGTCATTTGTGAGATTCAATAGCGCAGTTGTTGTTGAGTGATTTGCTCTGAAACCTGACACTGAGACAGAATGTTGTTATGCTCAATATATGAGGACAATTGGTTAAATATAATCTTTTCAAAAATCTTTTGGACTGTGCATATTATCGAGATTGGTCTGTAATTATTGATATCTGTTGGATTACCCCCTTTATGGACTGGTGTAACTCTGGCACACTTCCATATGGGTGGCAATGAGTTTGTTGAAAGGGACATGTTAAAGAGCTCAGCCAGGGGATGCGCCAGAACACTGTCTGCATATTTAAAAAATTTCGCTTCCAGTCCATCAGGCCCAGCACTTGTTCTACATTTCATCTGGCATATAACTTTGAGAACTTGATATGGCAAGATTGTTTTGAAATCAAAAATTTGCGATGGCGTTTCATTTTGAAATGCCATGTACCTGTAGGGTGTAGGGCATGCCTGTCCAATATTAGAAAAATGATTATTCAGGACACGAGATATCTGCTCAGGTTCAGAGAGACTTTCATTGTTGGTACAAATCTCTTTTAACAAATTTTTATTATCACGATTTAAAAGTGTATTAAGATTTTTCCAAAATTGTCTAGGGTTATGAACGTCTTCTGAGAGGCTATTCTTATAGAAATTAGATTGGGCATTTCTTGTATTATTTGTGCAATCATTTCGTAGACGTCTGTAGATTTCCCAATCCTCAGGGTCTTTGCTAGCATGATACTTAGCCCAAGCTTGGTCTCTTAAGCCTAGTTTATACTCGCGTGGAGCTTACGGAGGTGACGTGACGTCACTTGCGCAACGCGTTGGTCACCGCAAGGCCCTTACGTTGCCTGCCGCGCAGTATCGACATTTTCTAACTACGTAAGGGTCGCCGCAAGGAATCTCCGCTGTGATTGGTCCGTGTGTGTGTATTGGAAGGAAGCGCGGAGCGGCTGCAGCAGGAGCATGGACGAGGCACTATGGAGCAGAGCCTGATATACAGGAGACTGTGGACTATCTAACATATATATAACTTATATCTAACATATATATAACTTATATTTAACATATATATAACTTATATCTAACATATATATAACTTATATCTAACATATATATAACTTATATCTAACATATATATAACTTATATCTAACATATATACACTTGTAAATCGTTCATGTTTGTCTCAGATATTTACCACTATTATTGTTTTGCTGTTTGTGCTGAAAACTATTTAATAATAACTATGTTTCCAACAGAACTGTGTGTTTATTCACAGCATCACAGTTGAAATGACTTATAAAATAATGAATCCATAAAACTATCACATAAACCTACAGTAGAAACACGTGTAATGAGCTCAAACAGCTTTGTTTGTTATTGTTGTTCTGAAGAGGACAAAGTAGCAGCGTAAATGGGACCGCTCCTGTGTGATCGCCCTCATGTGGTTTGTTGTGGGATTACAACATTCTCCTCAAAACTCCGTAAGAGGAACGCGCCAGTATAACATCAATTGTGCTTACGTAGGTCCACCGCAACCGCTAACGTAAGCCACGCCGCGCAAGTATACACTAGGCTTTAGACTGTATGAGTTCAAGAGACCTGAGTTCAGCCATGGGAGTGTCCTACCTTTAACCCTCTTTATTTTCCATGGGGCATGGTTGTCAATCACTGCATTTACTTCAGAACTAAAGAATTCCCACGCATCAGCAGTTGTCGGTATTAGAGACATTCTGTCCCAGTGTATGTTTAGTAGATCTTGCCTGAAATGCTCTATATTCAGATTTTTACATTGCCTAAATTTTATATATTTGGGTGGAAAACTAGGGACTTTTATTTTCCATACACAATAAATAATGGAATGATCACTTAAACAGTCAGACATGACTCCAGATGTAGTGATTCTATCTGGATTTGTAACAAGAATCCAGTCCAAAAGGGAGCTGGTCTGACCATCTACTCCAGTAGGTTCCCTTATTAATTGAGTGAGGTTAATGCTATTAATCAAGTTCCTCTCGTTAGACGAGGCACGTGCAAGCCAGTTTTTATTAAAATCGCCCAAAATTATTAATTATTTTGTATTGTGTTATTCTAATGAGCTAATTGTATTCAACATATTGGTTATAGAGTCAGCCGGTGCAGAGGGAGGTCTGTAGATGCTTCCTATTATTAGTGATTTATTCGCATGCAATATGATTTTCACAAAAATGCGATACAGGTAGAGCTGAGGCTACTGTCTACATAGATTGCAACGCCGCCACCTCTTCTGCCTCTGTCTGCTCTATACATTGTAAAACCATTGATTGTAATTTCACTGTCTAAAATATTGGAATGTAACCAGGTTTCTGAAATTGTAATGATTTTTGGCTTGTAAAGAGTGGCCCAGGCACGCAATTGATTGATTTTAGGGAGTAGGCTTCTAATATTTAAATGAATGATTTTTAAACCTTTACCATTGTCAAACATGTTATGTATTTTAATAGTGGGATTTCACTGAAATGGAATACATGACAAGGCAAGCAAGATAACGTGGACACACACACAGACACACACGGGGACGCACACACAGACACACACAGACACTCTCAAATATACAGTATTGCATTTTAAAAGATTTCAAAAGATGAAGAAGATCCAGGAATGTAGTAATAAGAAAAAAACAAATGAAGTTGCAGGACCCTGTTTAGAAGGTGAAAGCCATCATTTTGCGACAGATCAGATTCAGATTCATTTATTAGCCATTTGCAGTAAAACCACATTGGAAAAACTGTGCAAGACTACCCCGGTGTGCGCCAGACAGAGACGACACACACCAGAGCTCTTGCCACGGCGCCATTTTTCCGGCGCCATGCGACAAACAGTAGAATAAACAGCAGAGAGCAATAACATACAGGTTACAACAGACAGTTGGATAGAAAACATTGTGCTTTTTATAAACCACGGATTTTTTTCTCGGGATGAGCACCTCTGGCTGCCGGTCCAATGTGGCTGTCAGAGGGGGGCGGGGTCAGGGAGTAGTAGTAGTAGTAGTAGTAGTAATCTTTATTTATATACCGCCTTTTCACTGCAGATCTGAGTCTCAAAGCGGTTTACAATTGTTAATTTTTGGGCATTTGTTTCTCACTCCACACAGAGATGGGAGCGGGGTCACCAGTACAGGAGGTGCATGCCAGAACTATTGGACATATTTTTAGTGGTAGGGGAAACCGGAGTACCCGGAGGAAACCTACGCAGACACGGGGAGAACATGCAAACTCCACTCAGAAAGGCCCTGGTCCGACCGGGATTCGAACCCAGGACCTTCTTGCTGAGAGGCGAGAGTGCTATCCACTCAGCCACCGTGCCGCCCCCGGGAGGGGGTGAGTCGGAAACACAGTGAGGAGGGGAGGGGAGGGAGAGATCAGAGGGAGGCGAGGGGAGCGGGATCCAAGCTGGAAGACTGAAAGAGTGTGAAATTTTTGTAGAGACCAGATTTATTATGATGGCCTTGGCCCGAGGAATGTGAGATAAGAGAGGAGCGAAGACACAGCAAGGAGAAAAACACATCTTCCTGTAACAAGGGACAATCTAGTATGCATTCTAGCAGTCAAAAACAGGCAGATATTCTATTAAATCCAATTAAACCGAATTGCGGCGCCCTCAAACCCCGTACACAGGGGCCAATCCAAGCCGGGTCAGAGAGTTCAAGCGTGACAAACAATGTCATTCAATCTCAATTCCAGAGTTTTATGCCCATCAAGTGAACGAGCTGCGAGATCTCTGATCAACTGTTCCACCAAAACCACTCTTCTTTGTCCAGCCACAGCGCTCTCAACCACGACTCGGCTAAGCTCCTTGTACATCCCATCAATTTTGTCGGCCAGCAGGTCGTGAATCTTGCGAACTGCCATGCCTTCGAATTTATGGTAGAATAGAACCGCTCCAAACCCAAACAGGAGGATCCCCACCACCAAAAAGCCAAAGATATATACGTCTTCCGAATCTTCAATGGACAGGGTCGACAGACAGAGGGGCTGAAACTTGTTCCAGCTGTCAAGAGTATACCCCGCTGGTGAAGTCCCGTCCGGGCACACGGGCTCTCCAGACCCACGCTTACGTGTTGAAAAGATAGAATCAATTGCGTTGAGGGACCAATTTACCATTTCCATTCTTGCTAAAAGTTGTCTGTGGCAAAACTCCAGGAAAAAGACAAAAACAGGAGATAGCAAGCAGTCAGAAGCAGGAGCGTCTGAGACACGTCTTTGCTCGACGGAGGCGGAAGAGGAAGAGACAGTAATGACGTCATGACGCAGCATGCGCATGCTTTACGGCAAACAGCTTTCTTCAGAGCTGTGCGTTAATTACTTTAGTTTGCCAAATAAAACAAATAAGTTCATAGAGTCAGTACTTCACGGCAAGGTGGTTATTTAACGTATAGTTCATAGAGATCCCATGTCATAGATACTCACAGTGCCACTGACTGATGAGGATGAGGAGATGGGAATGCTTCAGCGATGGCGAACATAGTCCTCAACTTCAGCGGGACAGCTGAAGAGTCTGGGTTTCCCATCTTCAGTTATCCGCAGAGAACATGGATATTGCATCGAGTACTTAATGCCCAGGTCCCGTAATTTCTTCTTCACATCGCCGAACTCCCGACGCTTTTTCTCCAGCGCTACGCTGAAGTCTGGGAAGATATGGATCTTCGAGCCTTTGTAGAGAAGATTTTGCTTCTCTCTTGCAAGCTGGAGTATGCGGATCTTGTCCTGGAAATTCAGAAACTTCACCAAGAAGGTCCGTGGCTTGGTGTCGCTTCCACGCGCAGTGGTTGGGGAACGATGTGCCCTTTCAATGGGGACAGCTGTGTCAAAATTGTCCTCGCCCAGGAGTTGCGGGATTAACTGGTTCATGAATGCAATTCCATCACTGCCCTCCGACTTTTCGGGGATATTGATTGCACATCATGGTCATTGAGTCTTGAAATTTATCAATGCTGGATTTAATTGCCGAAAGTTGTGCGTCAATCTGTGCATAGATGTCTTGTTTAGTCTGTAAAATTGCGTCCAGGATATGCTTGAGCGTTGGATCTGCGGCCTCCTCAGCTTTCTTCTGGCGTGTATCAGTCATTTTGAAAGCTGATATGATTCAAACGTTACTTTTGTGAGTGGATGAGATGTCTGGGATATGGTTTATATAGTCAACGTTTACGTTACACATACGTCATACATGGATAAGCATTCGTGTCATATCAAGAGAACAATCAGAACATAACAAGACAACGAAAGAACAGAGCACGGACACACAATCATCGCAGATACACAATCGGGTCGTTTTCCTAAGGCCAGATCACTTTATAGCTCTCTAATTACCACAACACGTCTTTCCTCAAGCCTTGCTGGTTTATGAATGAGGAAAGATGTAGCCTAGGTGAAGCTCAAGAGCGTCTCCCCCTGCTGGACACTCCACGTAACTGCACTAACAACACAAATCATCTGGTTACACAAAGTCCTGTCTCTGTCCCTGACTGACTAACAATGTCGTTCAAAACTGTTTCATGAAAAGCAGTAGAAGAGGAAGAGCCGTCAAAGACGTAATTTTTGCTCCATACATGGTAAAACCGTAGAGCCCTGTCTCATCTCCTGCCCATGAAGATAAGGGAGTCTGAAAAGAACACTAGAGACACAAACTCCAAGGCTCCACGCTGAACTCTTTAAACTCACTGACCTCAGGCTAATATGAAACATAATATAAAAACATTTTGATATAACATTTCATGATTGAATATAGAATTTCACAATTTCATTGATGATGCATGGATGAAAGAAAATAGAGGTGTGTTCTTGTATCGGCATGTGCTGTATTTAAAATCACGTCACATAACGTCACGTCAGTTCTGTTTGTGCATTATGATGGGATGCACCGATACAACTTTTTTTTAAAGAAACGATACGAGGATCTTAATTTGAGTACTGGCCGATACCGAATACAGATACGACCACTGCATCGTGTTATCCCTGGGAATTCAGAAAACTAATACTACTGAAAAGCACTAAGAAAATGTTTTAACAATTAAATATTTGGTCAATTCTTTTAACAGTCGACAGTAAGAGCAACTGTCACATTCCACTGATACAAATGCTATGTTGTAGAGTTGGTGTTTTTTGTGCTCCAGTGCTATACTCCGTGTGGTGGTGAGTTTTCAGATGTATGATCAAGTTGCTGGTGTTATAAGTGTTTGTTATGGACCCACCTCGTGACAGTTTTTCCTTACACAACGTACAGTTCAATTCACTGATGTCACTGGTTTACTATTTGCTATCCACTTGTTAGCTTCCCGCTAAGCTAGCAGTAAATGCTTTCTTGCTGCAAACTTTAGATCACCATGGCAAAGCCGTCTGCTGTCGTGACACTAATGTAAATTTAAAACGTGGGTATCGGCCCGATATCTGATACCAGTATCGGTGCATCCCTAATTATGAACTTAAGGAACATTTGAACATAGATGTTCACATTAACATAAAAACTCATTTGTCAAACAAACAGTTTCAGGAAAGATCAGATGAAGATCATTAAAAGGACAGTTGGAAACCCTTGATCAATACAAGAAAAGTTGGAAGCCTTTGATCATTACAAAAACAGTTGAAGCGTTTTTGAGTTCAACAGTTTGGTTTATTTGTGATTTCATTCCGACATCTGTCCAGTGTCGTCCTTAACCAAAAAACAAAACCTGTCCGTTTCCCACTGATCACTACAGCGTCAGAATCAGGGTCAAGGTCAGGGTTAGCAAACAAAGGAAATCTTAAAGAAGAAATAATGTAATGATACTTTGTCATGTTTGAGAATGTGACATAAAATCTTCAGTAGAATAGAAAACATATGGTAAAGTATGAAGTATGGAGGGAACAAGAACAGCCCTCTGGTCCATAGAGAAGCGGTCCCAACACAGCGGCGGTCCCCTGGTTCCTGGAGACATTCCTCAGGCCTGGAAGATCTGTCCCACCAGGGCAGAGGTCCTGTCTCGAATCAGAGCTGAAATGATGTCAGCAAGCTGCAAAACAGACCTCCCCCAAATCTCTGGATCCTGAGGGACAAACAGAAGGAAATTCTGCAGAGTTCTGTAGATTTCTGTGAAGTCCTGTCGAGTTCTGGGAGGAAGGAAATGGTTCACCCAGAGCGGGTAGAACTCTAATCTTAAAATCAAGGATTCAAACAAACCAGGACACCATCAAAGACTAAAATTACTCCAAAAAGCAAACTGCAATGAACCCTTTTTTAAATTTGGGTTTATCTTAAATAGATGTAAATATCATTTAACAAGAAAACCTTGCAATAAAAAACTGCCAAATTCCCTTTCGGGTAGTTTTGCTATTAGCAGAAAAGTATCAATTATTGTTCATAGTAAAAAAATGGCTTACGTTTGGAGGCTCAAAATTCGGCATGTTTATTGTGAGCAAGTGCTGAGTTGACTGACCGTTTAGATTTTGAGCCTAACCCTGTCCTAAAACGAAAGGGTCAAAGGTCGGCTTCTATTTGAGGCATAACATCATTTTTATTATAACCCTATTGGAAAATATTAAATGTGAAAAAACCCTTGAGGTACATTTTCTTCTATTGGCCAGAAGAGGCCCCTCCCACTTTCAAAAGATCAATATTCCAATATTGCCCCTTATTGGATAAAAACCCCATCGGAAAGGTCCCGAGGCTGAAAATGTACAATTACCCTTTTGTTCCCTATTGGAAATCGCCTAACCCCAGATGGAATGGGCTGGGCTAATTTCTGGGTGTGGGGCCACCAAAGAATTGTGGGATGGCGCCATCAATGGTCAGAAGAAGCGCGGCACAGGCCGGATTCCATAACGGAAAATTATTAAGCCATAACTGACCGGCCAGTTTAGCCAAAACGGAATTTTCTTCCTTTAGGGGTGGAAATACTTAGTTTGCGACAGACCCTTTTCGGTTAAAATTATTTTTTATTTTTCAATGGGCCAAGTGCCCCCAACGGAAGCGTTTCCCTCAGGTGTGAGTTGAAAGTCCGTCTGACATGGGGCTCAGCTCCGCCCCTCTCTTCACCCAAGTGTCCAAAACACGTGGCCGAAGGTCAGATGATACGTCAACAGTCGTGGTGCCCGTGCACTGGTGGACACTCTTGTGCTCGAACATGGTGTTCGTGATTGAAAAACTGTGACTAGCACAGAAGTCCAACAACTGAACACCGCTCCAGTTCAGATCAGGGGGGGTCGTTCTTCCCAATCACCCCTCTCCAAGTCTCACTGGCATTTCCCACATGGGCGTTGAAGTCCCCCAGGAGAGTCCCCGGTCGGTGCACTGTCCAGTACCCTTCCCAAGGACTCCAAGAAGGCCGGGTACTCTGCACTGCTGTTAGGCCCGTAGGCCGTCACAACCGTGAGAGACTTGTCCCCCACTCGGAGACAGAGGGATGCGAACAACTCATTCATCGGGGAGAACTCCAACACGTGGCGGCTGAGATGGGGGGCAACGAGTATGGCCACCCCAGCTCGCCGCCTCTCCCCGCGAGAAACACCAGAAAAGTGGAGCGGCCAACCCCTCTCAAGGTGTTTGGTTCTGTGGAGGTGAGGTCTACTATCTCTAGTCGGTATCTTTCAACCTCCCCCTCGAGCTCAGGCTCTTTGCAGATGACACACACTTTATCTGTCGATGAAACCAAATCAGACGGATCAGTTGAAAAGGCTAAGTGCCTGCATAAAGGACCTTAAAAACGTGGATGACTCTTAAAATTCTACTTCTTAACCTGGAGAAGACAGAAGTGATCCTACTTGGTCCAAAGCACCTGCGTGACTCCCTCGCCGACCAGATAATCACTCTCAATAATGTCAGTATTATACCCAGTAACACTGTGAGGAATCTTTGAGTCGTTTTTGACGAAGAACTCTCCTTTAAGACTTGTATAAACCAAGTAACTAAAACGGCATATTTACACTTACGGAAGATCGCTAATATCAGGAATATTCTTCCTAAAAGTGACGCGGAAAAACTAATCCACGCCATTTGTCACCTCAAGGCTTGACTACAGTAACGTTTTGCTGGCAGCGTGTCCTAAAACCTCTTTAAAGAGCTTCCAGCTTGTTCAAAATACAGCAGCTAGGATCTTAACAGGCACCAAAAGGAGGGAGCACATAACTCCGGTGTTAAAATCACTCCACTGGCTCCGTGTGGAGTACAGAATAAAGTTTAAAATTTATCAGGGAAGGCTAAACTCCTCAGAGTCCTCAGTCAAGCTGCATAGGGAGTCAGTTTGCTGGGAGAAGTATGGTAACTTGAGCACTATCCTCTCCTCCTTCCTACTTTATCTGTTTAGCATTATCAGGATTTTGACTGTAGTTTGTTCATTGCTATTCACCCGTTGTCCCATTGTCTGTTTCATGGTACGATGACGGGACCTCTGGACCTGGCCTCCTCCATCTACACCTGCGGACTGCCCCGCCCGACCCGCCTGGGAGTTCTTCAGTCCCAAGGAAAGAAAGTGCCCAAGAGCATGTAAAAAAGGTTCTTACAAATAAAAAAGACCAAGCAATTATAACTGACATTTACAGTTGGGGTGGGAACCTAAGGGTACCTCACGATACGATACGCGATACAAAGCTCACGATAACGATTATATCACGATATGACAATTATTGATATATTGGTCAGCAATATATGGCATACATAAAATAGAAAATGTGTAAGTGAAAAATACACTTTATTTCATGATAAATGGAATGGAGATGTGTAATTTAGCCATATATTAAGAATTGATACTAATTATTGAAAAAAAAATCGATACTTGGCAAATACATATCGATAATCGATCGCGGGAAAAATGTATCGCGATATATCGAAAAATCGATATATCGTCACACTCCTAATTTACAGTATGAGAGACATACAATGTACACAAAAACAAACTGTACATTGTTCAGATGGATGTGTGCTTTGTACCATCTACAATACCGAGAACTAATCACTTCATCAGTCATCAGTTGATCATGAATCACAAATACATCAAGATTCAATGGTTGGTGAAAAAGTAGAATTGGTTTGATATAGTGTGGGCACCCCTGGTCTAAAGTGTAGTCACTCAGCTACTGATCTTGACCACACCAAAAGTCACTTGGTCAAACTTGGACCATGTGTTATTGGGGTGATGTTTTTTCAGAGAATGAATGTCCTTTTTATTTACCCGTTGCCAACACACTTTGAAAATGAACAGTTCTGGCTTCTGGTTTATCAGGCTACTTAGCTGTATCATAGTTAGCCCAAGACATTCATAGTGCTCCATTCTAACTCCGCACTGATCAGCAGCTCTGATTTGCCAAAGCGCGGCCGAGCCCATCTATGCACGTGCATGAGAGCCACACAAGCATATTTGGCGCAACGCCATCATGGGAGCTTGTCCACTGCGCAGAACCGGGAAGACCAGACGATGCCCAAATATGGGCGAGTTCCGCTAATTTTTCAGCCCTTATCAATGCCCCACGGGCATCTTTGATCACCGGCTCTACCCCCGCTAGCTAGACGGCAACACAATTTTTTCTAGTTTCACAATGTTTTACTGAGCTCATCTCCATACTGTAAGCAGCACAGGCTAAGTGATGGCTAAAACTTGTGCCAGAATAGGGCTTCAAAATGGTGACAGCACATAGTCTACCCCACGAAACATTGAGGCAAAAAGGAACTAGAACTGTATAGGGTGTCTTCTTGAATGAAGCATGCCTGTTTTCTAATCGCTTGGGTGTTAGGCACGGACAATGGCATACTTATCTTTTTGGTGAATACATAGAAGACAGAAGGTGAAACGGCTAAGTACCTTATTGTGCTGCAGCTGGATGCCGTAAAGAAGGATATTTTTGTGTTTGTAGAGACAGGCCAGATCCCTGAAGGCTCCAGGCTGCGTCACATGCACACCACTCGACCAAACCTGAAAAAATAAGAGTAATAAGAGAAAAAAAAGTATCAACTTATGTAGAAGAAGTCTCCATTCCCCAGCTCCCATTGGTCTCCATCCCCTATTACCTGTTCAGTAATAGCTGAACAGGTAAAGTATTTAGGAGTCATATTGGATCCAAATTTAGGGTTTAAATGATCAAATACAGTTAAATTTAACATGGTACAGTTTCGACACATTAGAAATTAACTTACAACAGAGGCATCAGGAGCATATCTTAATGCAATGATTGTTCCCCATTTTCTTTATTGTATGACAAGTTGGTCTCAAGCTGCTACATCTGTCCTGAGGCCACTTGAGTCACTTTATAAAGACGTTTCCATCACTGTCATATCCTTACAAAACACACAAATCTTTGCTTCCTGTATAAGATCCTGCATGACACCGCTGCTCCTCCACTGAAAGTAAGTAGTAAGTAAGTAAGTAAGTATTTATTTATATACCGCCTTTTCACTGCAGATCTGAGTCTCAAAGCGGTTTACAATTGTTAATTTTTGGGCATTTGTCTCTCACTCCACACAGAGATGGGAGCGCGGTCGCCAGTACAGGAGGCGCATGCTAGAACTATTGGACATATTTTTAGTGGTAGGGGAAACCGGAGTACCCGGAGGAAACCTACGCAGACACGGGGAGAACATGCAAACTCCACTCAGAAAGGCCCTGGTCCGACCGGGATTCGAACCCAGGACCTTCTTGCTGAGAGGCGAGAGTGCTATCCACTCAGCCACCGTGCCGCAGGTGAATGAATGATGAAAGAGTTCATCTCTTTAGGCTCAGACATAACACGAGCCACGAGAGCCACCGAGCGGCGAGTGTAGGATCCTCAAACACAGGACAGCTTTTGGAAACTCTGCCTCTTCCTCTGACCACAGTGGAACATGCTGCCCACAGAGCTGATAGCAAGCACCAATTCCTGCATGTTCTCACGCCTTCTAAAGAAATGGTTATTATCAAACCAAACTTTCACTCATGTGTAGCTTGTGTGAGTGTGTGAAAGAGAGAGGGAGGGGGAGTGTGTGTGTTTGACCAGTATAAATGAGTGATATGAATGTGAGTTTTTAACAAATTGTGCATGTAAAGACTTGGGACTACAGGTGGAAATTAGCTCTTGAGCTTTAACCTGGTACAATGCATCTCTCCCTTTGAGGTTAATGTTTATTCTACGTCATGGTGCTACGTCCCTTAGGACTTCGCTAGTGGGATATCACTCGTGACCCCCAGGTCACGCGCCAGAGAGATCAAAATAATTTGCTCCAATCACCAGCCACCTTCCTCTATAAATGCCCCTGCACAAGGCCGCACCCCCTCTTTCACTCTGGCGCCGATTGAGATCTACGTTCAACTTACCTGAGGAAAGATGTCTTCTGATGCTCGTCCGAGTTCCCCTTCGCCATCCGGCGTCGGACGTCGTCGTTGCTCGACTTGTCGGGTCAAGCTCCAGCGCAAGGACCAGCACTCCAGCTGCTTCGTGTGCTTGGGTTCGGGCCATGCGGCGTTGAGCGCCACCTGCGCCTCGTGTCTCGCTCTCCCCAGGGAGGAGAGTGAACGCAGGCGCGCGTTCTTCGCCGCTACAGCGCCCCGTCCGGACTCCTCTCAGGACGAGGAGTCTGTGATTGACTGGGCCCCTCTCGACCTTCCACCCGTGCCCGCGGAGTGGGGTGACTGCGAGGACGGAGAGGTTTCGGAGGTCGGCTCTCTCCTCACGCTGGACGAGGTGGTGTCCAACCCGGAGCCGGACCGCTTCCCGCTGGACCACATGCCTGGGCTCTATTCCACGGCGGCGGCCATCATGGATGCCCCCCTGCCACCGCAGCCGAACCAGAGGGCGGAGGACTTCACCTCTGGTTACGCCACCACTCAAGGGAGGAGGAGGACACAGCCCACGTTGTGCCCGCGGATGGACCCGATCGTCCATTACGCGACACGTGAGTGGCCAAAGCCCCTAGCAGCCAAGAGGCCCGCTTTGGGGTACGGCATGTACTGTACCGTGCAGGACTGGTCCTGGACCAGCGGGGTCCCGGACATCGAGAACTCGGTTCGAGCGGCCCTGCACCCCTCCGCATCCGCGTGGCCCGGCACCAGACCTCTCCTTCCCTCCGAGCGGGACAGGATGTCTTTGGCGATGCACGATAGATGTTACGCCAACGCGGCTCAGGTCGTCGCTGTGGCTAACAACATGGCCTTCATCACCGGGGCCCTGGATAGGTCGCTCTCTTCTGGCCAGGCGCTCAGTGGAGACACCTTATCCCAGGCGAGGACCACCTCAGCGGCGGTCCTGCGCATGTGCCAGGCGCTAGCTGTCGATGGCGGCCGCACGATGGCAGCAGCACAAGTCGGGGCCCGACACCTCTGGCTGGGGCTGACAAACATCAGAGAGGCGGAGAAGAGGCAGCTGCTGGACCTGCCCATCTCCCAAGCGTCCCTCTTCGGTCCGGAGATGCAGACTTTGATGAATAGGCTGGACACCGCAGCTAAGGACGCTGCTAGCTTAGCCCAGCATCTGGCTACGAGGCGGGCCCGCCCACCAGCGCGGAGCCGTGACAGAGGCAGGGAGCGCTCGCCCGACAGGCGCCCCGGACCATATCCACGCTCCGTGGTTCATCGCTCCCCAGCGACGAGGCCCCCGGGCCCAGACAGGCACACGGGAGGCTCGCGGGACCAGCGCACCCACCGACGACCTCCCTATGGCAGAGGAGGTCGGGGTGGGAAGAACTCTTTCAATAAAAGCCGTGCGGCATTTCATCAGTACTCGCTGCCTGAGTCTCATTTGGGGGTATGTAACATGTCAAATGATTTGAATTCTGATTGTGTTACTTCTCGAGCATATAACGTGGCTCCGCTAGGCCTGCAGCCCCCAGAGAAGGGTGTGCAGTGCGCTACGCGAGCCACGAGCTCCGATTCACTGGTTCATGCTATGCCCTCCCAGAGAGAGGTCAGGCGGAGGGATCTGGTGAGTAATGATGTGTGTGCTTCGGCCGAACGCGTGTTAGCATCTCTGAGCTACAAGGCTAACACGGGGTCTCCCACTCCAGGGGCTCGCCCCCCCCTCCATGAGGCAAGAGCCAGGGGGGGGGCACAGCAGCCGAGTCACGTGTGGTGAGCAGTCCCGTACTTATGACGTCGGGCCTGCAGGACACGTGACCGCCCCCGGCGCTCACGGTGTGACGCAGGGGGCCCCCCGGCCCTTTCAGCCACCCCCCCTCCCTGCTAGGAACACCAGGAGAGGGCGGGGCCGTGACGTCTTGTGTTCAAACTCCCGTTCCGCCCCTCACAGACTTCTACAGTGTCTGGAGGGAGCAGGGCTTACTGACAGATATTTGGCTGGAGAAAACTTTGCGCAGGGGTTACGCACTGCAATTCTCCCGGAAGCCACCACCATTCCGAGGCGTACGGGCAGCACGCTCTCAGGTACGGGGATCATTAGAGGCACTACAGGCGGAGGTCTCCTCTCTGCTGAGTCGAGGCGCAGCAGTGGAGGTAGACCCGCAGGACGCCACCAGGGGGCTGTACTCCCCTTACTTCTTAGTGCCAAAGAAGTCAGGCGGGGTGCGTCCCATTCTGGATCTGCGCGTGTTGAACGAGTGCATTTCCAAACGGCAGTTTCGGATGCTGTCCACAAAGCAGCTCCTCGAGTGTGTCAGGGAAGGAGACTGGATGACATCCATAGACCTGACAGATGCGTACTTCCACGTGCCCATAGTGCCAGAACACAGGAGGTTTCTGCGCTTCGCAGTGGGAGAGAGGAATTACGAGTACTGCCGTCTCCCCTTCGGGTACGCACTCGCGCCTCAGACTTTTTCCAAATGTGTGGAAGCAGCTCTGGAGCCGATCAGACGCGCGGGGGTAAGAATATTAACCTACATAGACGATTGGTTAATACTAGCCTCATCCAGAGAAGTGGCCGTGAGCCACACGCACTGGGTCCTGTCCCACATACAGCGCCTGGGCTTTGTGGTGAACAGGGAGAAAATTATTAGTTACCTAATGTAACTTAAGTTATACGAATAGGTGCACGTGTTATCCCACTAGCGAAGTCCGCTAAGGGACGTAGCACCATGACGTAGAAGCAGGCTGCAACCGGCTCAGCGCATGATCTATCTCGGCCTGCAGCTAGACTCGGTGACATTCCGTGCTGCATTGTCCGTGGACAGACGGATGAATATTACCCGTCTGGCCCGGGAGGTTCTGGCGGGCCCCAGAGTTCCCGCTCGGCGCCTCAGGTCCCTGCTGGGAATGATGGCAGCGGCTCATGCTGTGGTGCGGCTAGGCCTGCTCCACATGAGAAATTTTCAGAGGTGGTTCTCGCGCCTCAGGCTTCACCCCTCCCGGGACGGGGGGAGGCTAATCTGGGTTCCCCAACTGGCAGCAGCGGACATCAGGTTCTGGCTCACTCCGGGTCTTTTGCGGGACGGAGTGACTCTGGCCTGCGCCGTGTCTCACGTCGAGGTGTTCACGGACGCGTCGCTCGAAGGATGGGGCGGGGTCCTCGGCCAGAGCTCTGTAGGAGGCTGCTGGTCGGACTCAGCCCGTCACATCAACCTGCTGGAGATGGAGGCAGTGCACAGAGTACTGCTGCACTTTGCCCCTCAGCTGCAGGGGAGACACGTGATGGTGCGCTCAGACAACACCACAGTGGTCTCCTATCTGAACAGGCAGGGGGGCACCAGGTCCCCCGCTCTCCATCGCATGGCGACGGTGACGCTGCTGTGGGCGGCGCTTCACCTCCTGTCTCTCAGGGCGCGCCACGTCCCGGGGGTCCGGAACGTGGGAGCCGACAGGATGTCCAGGGGGGGCCCACTCCAGGACGAGTGGGGCCTGGCCCCACGGGTAGCTGCGGAGGTCTGGCGAAGGTTCGGCCGTCCAGTGGTCGACCTTTTTGCCAGTCCAGAAAACGCACAGTGCCCGTCCTGGTTCGCCTTAAGGGCCGCGGACGAGCCGCCTTTAGGCGTGGACGCTCTGGCTCATTACCCATG